ATTGTGGGTGTGGTGTATGAATGTTAACACTTTGTAATAATTCTTTAGTATATTACTTGTGTGGTGTAGAAGATAATTATTTAAGAATGTAATTATGTAAGAATGTTAACACTGTTATAATCTTTTTTTAGTATAATACTTGTGTGGGTAGAAGTGAATCATTTACTGCTTGCAAACCAATGATGGTAAGATGATGTCATGGGGTAGGACTGGATAAGTCTGACTTCTTCCTACTCCATTCAAGCATGTACTAGGTATAAGCAAATTGATATTGGATTATGTGTATGTGTGTTGTCATATCAACTGTTTTTACATGCTTGAAAGAATAAATCAAAGAATAAATCAAATCAAATTATCTAAGTAAACTACAATAATCAGTGAAATGTCGTCCATTGTCTTTAAAAGTTCTCTGGTTGCTGATGTTGGTTGATGTAGTCTACAGCAAAATTCTTATTTCTGCTGCCTACTGTATATTTCCCCTGCCTCTCTTGTTCTTCCTCCAGCACACAAAGCTGATGATGACAGTGCTGATGATGACAGTGGATACCACTGCAATGACAATGAGAATGATTGGAGTACTGTCAGAAACTAATCCCGTATCCTCTTGTCCAGTGCTAGTAACCTCCTTGTGCTCTGAGGTTGGTATGGTCTTTACATCAGGTGAGGAGGTGCTTTGTTTAGTTGCAGGGGTACTGGGTTTTCTTCTCTTCTCTGTTGTCAAAACAGGCTCCTCAGTAGAGCCTAGAGGCATCAGGTTCTCATTTGTCAGCAAAGCAATCACATCACCATTCAGACTGAAAGGTGTTTCACACACCACAAGGGTTTGGTTGGCCTTGGTTTGGTGCTTCCTCAGCCAGTCCCTAAGAGGCAGAATATCCTTGTCACATTTCCAAGGGTTCTGCTGCAGGAGCACTTCATTTGCTGCAGTGAGGGCATCTAGATTTTCCTGTGGCAAGTTGGAAAGGGAATTGTTTTGCAGGTCTATCTGTCCCAGATGGCTCAAACCCTGGAGGAAACCCAGAGGAAGAGATCTGATGAAATTGTGCTCCAAAGAAATGTTGACCAGGTTGGGCAGACCCTGGAAAGTCTCAGCTGGAAGGGTTGTGAGCAGATTGCTGTGAAGTGAAACCTCTTCCAGCTGCTCTAACCCTGTAAAGGCCCCAGCGGAAACATATTTGATTTGGTTGCGACTGAGCACCAGTAAACGCAACTTAGTCAGATTTCTGAATGTGTCATCCTCCACATGGCTCAGCTTGTTGTCATACAGCCATAACTGCTCCAGGGGCATAGATCCAAACACCCCCGGGCCCAGACTCTCCAGCTGGTTTTTAAACAGGGAGATCTGGGAAAGGAAGGGCAAGTTTAAGAAGATCCCTTGTGGAACAGATGTGAGCCTGTTGTGAGAGAGGAACAGCTTCTGCAGCTTCACATTCTTAGAGAACAGGTCACGATGGAGGTGAGTGATTAGATTGTCACGTAGGGATAATTCCTCCAGGTTTTTGAGGTCATCCAGACTACCAATGGGGAGTTCCTGTAGCAAGTTTGTGTTAAGTCGTAAGGTTTTCAGTTTAGAAAGACCCTTGAATGTGTCTTTAGACAGTTGACTGATTTTATTTTCGGAAAGATAAAGGTGTTGTAGCTCAGTAAGGGAGTGGAAGGTTTCCACAGGTACGGAAGTAAAAAGGTTCTTACCAAGGTCAAGGACTTTCAGATTTTTCAGTGGTGAAAACCAGTTAGGACGGAGCACCACTAGTTTGTTGTTCTTCAGAATCAGAGACTCAAGCTTCTGGAGATGTTGGAACACATCCTCAGGGAGATCTTGCAGTACGGTGCCAGTAAACATTATTGCACCAATGTTCAGAGTGGAATCAAATGTGCCAGGATGGACTTCCCTCAAACCACTGTCTTTAATTAAAAAGATCCTAAGGGAATTCACAAAATCAGCCAAGTTCTCTGGTTTCAGAGAATAGATACTGCAATCAGAGAAGGCAAGGGAGGTGGTAGATGAGGGCACAGCTGTGGGGAAGTCTGTGAGGCCACTGCAGATGATTTTGGTTCCTTGACAGGTGCACCCATCAGGACATGCCCAAACAACAGCGTTGAGGGAACAGAGAAGTAGCAGTGCATGAAGAGTCAGTGGCAGGTCCATTTTTACCCCTAGAACAGAAGAAACTATTATGTTGCATCCAAGGTTGGTTATGATTCTTGTGTGGATGGCAAAAGACTTTATGAATGTCATGGTTATTATGTAATAAATGTCCTTATGTTTTTGTCCTTAAAGAGACACTCCATCAATTTCCCATGTCAAAGTCGATAAACTTGCCCTGGAAGTGCTTTCACTCAGCCTGTGAAAGTTTTTAGATTTCTTTTGTGGATCTGAAGTGGTTTTATCAAAGAACTATATTCACGTAATTACTCGAGTACTTTTGGGTTTGGAGACTACACATTTTTAAAAGAAAGCCAGTGTTACAAATGGCAGCTGGTGTTCAAAAAGCATGATGTTGTGCACACACACGGAGGGAGAACCAAGCAAAAAAATGTTACAGTGGCAAGAAAATGTGAACTCTAAAGATCAGGTTATGATGGCCTCTGTTACCTTAATTTTGTTTGTTCTTTTTTAAATCTGTAATTTCCACATTCACCTACTTTAATGAAGTGCAATACTTACATTAATTGCTGGTGCAAGTTAATGCTAAGTTTTGCACTCTTTGTGGCCAATGTCTTTGTCTAAATTCTAACTCGCCAAAAGGAAGGAAGGAAGACAGAAGGAACACGAAGCAACTGAGATAAAACAGTGAAATTTACCACCAAACATAAATGTTTTCAGCTCTTAGAAGTAATTTCCATTTTGGTTTTAATTAATTTATGATATCCTCAAGAGAATAGGCACAATAGAGGTTTCCTGCAAATTATATCATCACCATAATAAGACAGACAGAAAGCAACTCTAATTTGTAACCTACTGTACATGTTAAGTGATACATTAGTATAAATTAATTCAGAGTGGTATTTTGTTGCCTATGGCTAGGAGTGATTCTCATCAGTATTGCCAAACAGATTGACAGGTAAAAAACCCTGCTTACCAACTGCTTGGCATTAAACCCACTTATTCGGGATCTGTGGTCTGTGGAGGTGACATTGAAAAGTTTGCTGTAAAATGTTTTTAGAAATAAATGCCCAGGCTGCACCTTGTGTAACATAGACATAGTGTTTGATTTGTTGCCACAAACAAAATGATTTATGTTGTAGCTACAGCTTAACACATCAGACTGCCTGCATGTATGAGGCTGTGCTCTAATGTGGGAGGCTGTGAGGACAAAACTGTAATGACCTGTTTTTCCATACAAAGCCATGCTGAAAAAAACGTAGAAAAAATCATCTGGACTTGATTTTAGGTAGAAGATGTTTCACCTCTCATCCAGGAGGCTTCATCAATGAGAGGTGAAAATGTCTTCTACCTAAAATCACGTTTTTTCTACGATTTTTCTTTCTCTTGTACTAAGCTTTAGAAATAGTAACATTAGTTATATCTTTCCTTCTTATATTTATGTGACATCTGCAGGACATTACCCACTGGTGTTATTATTGCTCCCCCTTCCTAGTTTTTAAGTGCTGTGAATGTGAAGAGTCAGAGTTCATATTTAAGTTAGGGGTGTGGTTCTGACTAGAAAACTAAACGTCAGTTATCAGTTGAGAAATGTGTCATCTGAATACAGTTCCCCTCCCTTGCATGTTCTGCACTGGAACAACTGAAGTAACATTCAAAGACATAGTGTTTCATCACTCCACCTAGAGACAAAAATCACTGAAAAATGTGCAGACTAACAGCCTGACTCCTTAGAATTATGAATTTAATAAAGTTTCCATTTGAATCAAGCCTGGCAGCTATACTATTTGGTATATATTATAATGTCACAGTCCATCCAAAACCACTGTCGACTCTGGAATTCTCTGCAGTGCTGTGTAATTACTAAAGTATTTCCACTTCACCATTTATTGCTATGATTTCTTCCCCCTGGCCAGAGCTGAAGAATTGGCACTTTGTCTTGAAAAGACAGAAGAGAGCTGAAATGCAGCAGCCACTGAGAAAACATTCATTTGATTTACTGTATAAAAGGTTTTTGACTACCTCTTTCACTGACATGCTAGGACTCAAGGCATCAAGAACAAACCACATTTTCTAACAGGCATCTTCACTCAGTTTGTTCATTTAGTCTATGTTAGGATTCCTAACAGGGAATATTTTTTCTTATAAGTAAATAAACACATTCCTGGGCAAAAATAGGTTCAATAGTAGTATTGTAGTTATTTTTTAATTTCATTATTATACAGTTGTTTTTATATAATAACTTATTGTTCATTATCACTGTCTCATTTTTAATCTTATTTATGATAAATTTCCTCCCTGAAATCAATTCACCAAATGTTCGTTAACAAGTAAGTTAGTAATCAGTAACAGTGAGTGCTTGAGAACCTACCTGCAGCAGTGGCTGACGATGGAATGAACCGAGACGGCGCGCTGGTGGTGTTATCTTTTATGTACGTCCTGCCTCCCACTTCGGCTTCACAGATCCGCTGATGAAAGTTTCCAGCACACTCTGAATTGTCCTACCGTCACATTTCCCTGCTCTTTGTCATCACTCCATTCCCTTCGTCTGTTATGTTTTTGCTTTTTTTCTCCCGCTGAGCTTATGAAATCTGCAGGGTCTTTTTTTCACAGTGTTGAGTGTCCTTGTCATCTGTTCTGCCCCCTCTGTTCCTCTCACACCTACACTCACATTTGTTTAGTAAATCTGGTGTGGGAGGGTGGCTTGGGTCTGGCAAGTCTACCTTCTTATATGGATGTTTGAATGCATGTGAGGAGAAATGTGATCTGTGCTTCATTTGATATAAATCTTCTTATAATTTAACTATATGTTTGTTTGGTCTTCTTCCACAGTTGGTTCTGTGTTTTGTGTGTGTGTGTGTGTGTGTGTGTGTGTGTGTGTGCACCTCCTTGTTTGGATGTGCAAATTTAAGTATCAGCTTCACATATCTTTGGTACAGTACAACGTCCACTGTATGTTTTTAAGCTGATGGTTTGGGCACTGGGCCATTCTGGATGTCTTCATAAATTCACTGTTAGGGGATTATAGATTGTAAAATGATTATAAAAAAATCAACTGAACAACCAGTACAGTTGTATTTCAGAAATTAATTTTCTATTCATTATTCTTTATGTCATAATGAGCCCCTGCACAGGCGTCTTCAGGAAAATAAAGAAACATCTGTCGGTATTGTATAACTGTGGATAAAGTTAGGTGATGAGGCTTTCCCTGCTGTTCTGTGTGTGTGCACATCCAGTATGCCTGTGCAAAAAGTTCTTTGAATATAGTTTGAGCATTAGTTTTTCCTGTTCATGTAATTCATATGTATTTATATGTGGCATGCTGTTTTGCAATAACAATAAAAATATAAAGTAAGTTTTTTGCAGCTTTTAATATTCCAGCATTGTTATAAGTTTATGTTTTTGTTTTATGACACAACAAACTCCCTCTTCATCACAGAAAACAGATAGTGGGGGTGGGGTTAACATATAAACAATCAGCTCCTTTAGTCCTGATATTGCTGTAAATGTACTGAAGGATGTATAGAAAATAAAATACTAACTGCACAGTAACAATTCATGCCTCTGTTTTATAACATCAGAAGCAATAACTCTACCAGACTGGGTGACAAGTTCCATTACGGTTGTGTTATGAGTGTGTCATTCATTTTAGAAATCTAATCATAGTTCATTTAGAGACTTAATGATTAATGTGTGTTGTTGAGGTCAAGTGCTGCTACTGGTACTTCCAGGGTGTCAGTAAACATGTTGTCAGACACTGTGAAGACAGTCAGTCATGTCAGCTACCCGTGATACATGATTTGTGTGAGTTAGTGTTTTTCATGCTAGTTTGTGGAGCAAGCATTACAGTACAAAACCACTTCAGTTGGATGGGAACCAGTTGGAGACCAAGAAGAAACACATTATGATAATGTCATTGTATAGTAGCTGTCTTGAGCAAAACATTTGGCTACAGTTACATATTGTTATTATTAATATTGCTGTATAGCAGTTAATTACTGTATTTAAGAGGATTATGGCTTCACTCTACAGCCATGAGTGTGCCCTATGCCTTGAGTTGCACTCTGGAAAATTTCCCTGAATCGTCTTTTACTTTTTCCACTTGTTTTTCAGTGTGGCTGAATATTTCCTGTGGCCCCTGCAGTATGATTTTCTGCCCCATGCTCAGTGTGTGTGTGTGTGTTTGTGTGCATACCACTGTTGTGTGAGCTCAGCGGACCAGAAAGGCCTAATCACCTGTTGTCATAGCAATGAACTTGTGTGCTGTTCACCGATTCAGATCTCTTTTGTTTACCATTTGTTGTAAAGTCCAATAACTTTTAGTGGAATCTGTGGCACCCGTTGTCATTTTGTGAAGGTTTAAAAGCCTTAAAAGCCTTTTTGACCATCACTTGAACCTTAATTTTGGTTTTGCCTCCAGATGTAAATGGCATTATCAGTTGAATGTATAGTTAGTAACACAGCTGGTTATAAAAGTAATATTGGTTTTGTGAGCTTCAGTGATAATTCTCTCCAGTGTTTGTGTATGTAAAGCATTTGTATAAACTATTATATCATCCCTGCGTGCACATTGTTGCCCTTTTGTTTCACAATGGAAGCTTGTGAAATTACAGGGGCACTGTTTTCCTGAAGTAGGAGAGATTTTAGTCTCTACCGTGTGAAACCCGAATGATAAATTAAATGGAGTTTCCTGTTTTCAAGCACGATGGTAACAGTGGGATCTTCCCATTACTCATTTTGAGAAAGCACATTTCCACCTCATTTTTATTTAAGGAGGAAATCCAGACAATGACCTCAGATACGAGAAGAGGAATGTTTACAGATACAACTCATACCCTGGTAGTACTCTGCAAAATCTGATGCTTTGAATGTGTGTAGATGTCAGCTTATTGGTGCATATATTTGATTTTGTAACCACAGAAGATAAAACAGAACATAAGATTTCTTAGCAATAATGTAATAACCTTTATTTTTACTGATAGAAATATAAAAAATAGCAACAATTCACAACAAACAGTTGAACTTACTTCACCAAATACCAGTTTGTGAATGTACCCGCTAGATATAGGTATTTCTGACTGTTTGACCCACAAGTCGTTGTCATAATGATGTTGATACCGTAGGACAGCGGTTCTCATTACTACTTTGTAATGTGTGGCCCTGGTCGTATGCAATTAGATAATAGATATAGAACAAAATGTATTTGTAATTACTGATGGAAAGGCAGGAATAACATTATCAACATCATCATTAGGAGTTTTACATCAAACCACATCTACAAACAAGGACAAAGAAAGAAAGATGGAAAGAAGCAACCCATAATACAACTTACTGTATCCATACTGGCTGATTACTCATAAGATATAGCTTATATATCTTTATAATTTATATGTTTTTAATTTGCCTTCATGTAGTTTGAAAATTTCATCACTAGAGGGAAACAAAACAATTCACTTTTGATTTTGGTCCTTCTATATGAAACATATCAGTAAATCCTGTACATACTGTATATAGTGTACACTAGGTTTTCCTTTCTGAAGAGACAAACATTTGAATATAACCTGGAAAAAGTACATATATATATATATCAAGGTTTAAGTTGCAAAGAGAGCATTATTTTAAAATGTGAATCAATAGCTGCAACTAGCTATTGTATATTCCAGATTAATTCATTAATTATTCACAGTTTAGTTTATGAAATGTCAAAAAGTAGTGAAGAACACCCAGTGAAAAACCTGTTAGAGCCAGAAGTTATGTCATCACATTGTTTGATTTGAGCGTCAAGAGTACAAAACACAAAGAGATTCAATTTATTATCATATAAGACAAATAAAAGATGCACAATGTGGAGCCTATATCTGTGTTTTAAAGATCATATACTGTATTATATACTGTTAAAAACTATATTACCTTAATGTAGCTTTACTTTCTTTAAATACCTTCAACTTTACCTTCAGCTTTAACTAAATCCCATATTTTTAGTGAGTGTTCTAAAGTTACACTTGAAGATGGAGCTTAACACAATATAAAGAAAAGCAAGAAGCCACTGCTGGTGGAAAAAGACCTGCAGCAGGCCTGATAAAATGTTTTGTTATCCTGGAGTTTTTGCACACTCAGCCTTTAGCTGGTCCACAGTCTTGTTGAGACGATACATGCCATACATGGCAGCAAACATAAGGAACAAGCCAGTGGCCACATGAAGGATGTGGCAAAACATAAGGAACCCAGCCAGGGCCGTGTTTGAGGGCAGAAACCACACATAAACCCAGCCTTTGTGAAAATTGTGGTGGACAAACTCGGGCCCCTGTTCAACCACCAATAGGTCATGAAAAGGAGGTGAAATGTCATAAGGTGAGAGAGGAATCTCAGTAATAAAAGAAAGCTCCTCATCAGGTAGAGCTGTGGTTATAGTGTGGAAGGATGTTGTGGCATCCAAGGTGGTGGATTTTGCGGGTGGAGTGGTTGTTGGGATGATGACTTGTGAAATGTCATAAGGTGAGAGAGGAATCTCAGTAATGAAAGAAAGCTCCTCATCAGGTAGAGCTGTGGTTATAGTGTGGAAGGATGTTGTGGCATCCAAGGTGGTGGATTTTGCGGGTGGAGTGGTTGTTGGGATGATGACTTGTGAAATGTCATAAGGTGAGAGAGGAATCTCAGTAATGAAAGAAAGCTCCTCATCAGGTAGAGCTGTGGTTATAGTGTGGAAGGATGTTGTGGCATCCAAGGTGGTGGATTTTGCGGGTGGAGTGGTTGTTGGGATGATGACTTGTTTGGTAGCTCCTTGTGTGGCAGTTGATATTGTTCCAGGTGGTGGTTTTTTTGAAGCAACAACTGATGTATCACAAAAGGTAAAGTCCTCATCCCTAAGAGAGCCAATGGTACGGAGCATATGATACTCTGGACTATGACAAATCGCATCCTGTTTGTCAATGACCACATGCTCATTGCAAAGTCCTCATCACTGAGAGAGCCAATGGTACGGCGCATACGATACACTGGACTATGACAAATCGCATTCTGTTTGTCAATGACCACATGCTCATTGTGTCTTACCCATCTTGAAACACCTCTGATACTACAAGTACAGTCCCAAAGGTTACCACTCAGAGTAAGAGCTTGTAAAGCTGCATTTGACAAGAAAATATTTCCTGGAAGAGTCTTGAGGCTGTTATTCTTCAAGTGAATGATCGAAAGCCCTTTTGGGCCCTGAAAGATGTTTTCTGGTAGACTCATCAGTTTATTGTCATTGAGGAGCAGTGTGCCCAGTGAGTTTAGTCTGGAGAACAGCTGAGGATGTAGATAATGGAGGTCATTGGACTTCAGCGAGAGCTTCTGAAGGTTCGAAAGACAACAAAAAAGGTCTGAAGGCAACTCTCTCAGCTGAAGACAACAGAAAAGGTCTGAAGGCAACTCTCTCAGCTTATCATTCAAATGAAAGTTAAGCATCAGGAGCCCAGTCATGTTAGCAAACAAATTTCCAGGAACAGTAGTGAGATTAGTGCCATACAGATAAAATTCTCTCATCTCAGGCATGTGACCCATCAGCTGGTTCGGTAGAGATAACAGGGGGTTGTTGTAAATAGTAAGCTTGCTCAGCTTGGGCATGTTGTAGAAGGTCTTTTCTGGGATAGCCTGAAGTCGGTTGGAGGACAAGGTGAGATTTACCAGGTTCCTGAGTGACCAAAACACTTGAGGTGGAAGACTAGCAATCTGGTTTTGGTGGATTTTTAGGTCTTCAAGGTTGAAAAGCGCATCAAATATTCCAGCTTCTAGCATTTCTAGCTTGTTGTTATAGATCATGAGCTGGCGAATACTGGTCAAAGAGTGAAAGATGGTAGGTGGTAGCTTCTTTATGAAGTTCCTGCCAAGGTTCAGAAAGGTGAGGTTGGTCAGTCGATTGAAAACTTCAGGACCCGGACTAGTCAGGTTGTTACGGCTCAGGTCCAGCTCCAGCAAACCACCAAGCCCATCAAACATACCTGGAGCAATGGCTTCCAACTGGTTTCCATCTAAATGCAGCTGCTCCAGGGTGGTCAGTGGACTGAACACTCCAGCGGGAAGGGTAGAGAGATCATTGAATGACAGCTTGACTGACTTGAGCTGTGGAGCGACGTGGAAGGCTAGGGGGTGGATAGTATGTAGGTGGCTCTTAGTCAGACTGAAACGCAACAGGAGATCCTGGTTTGCCAGACTCTGGTTATTTAAGACGCTCATGTTTATGTTATTGAGCTGCAGCAGGTATGTGTGGACAGGCAGCTGTTTTGGTATTTTTGTGATACTGGAGCCAGAACACCTGACAGCACCTTCAGAGTTGCACAGGCAGCTGCTGGGGCAGACCGTGGTGCAGGTGAGGTGTGGCAAAGTGAAGAGGACAAGTATCAACCACAAGGTGCCTGTGTAGTTGAAATATAGGAATTTAGACACATTACATTATGACATTACATTATTATTGGAATTTTGTCATAATAACAACTGTTTATACATTTTTCTTTAGCTTTATGTAATGGAAATAAGGCATTCAATTCAATTCAAACACTGCAAAAATATTCATTGTAAATGTTCTCCTTTAACATACTATGTAAGTCCAAATCTACAACTAAAATTCCTTGGATTAAATTTTAAAAAGGCTAAAAGTACTACCAACCTTTTAAGTAAGAATCCATCATTGTCTGTTTGATGCTATGATCATGCTGCTGTGCGCTGTGCTCCTTTTGGGGCTGGAGATGTCTGGAGGAGCTGGGAACCCTCTGTCAAGTCATCCTGCCTCCTGCCTAGACAAAATGTCTGCCCAAATGTCATCCGTCACATTACACAGCCTTCATGCTTATTGGACCAGTGACGTGGACTTGGAACAATAGGAGAAAATTAAACTTTTGGAATTACTTAATTCATTAGGCTTATTTCAGTAGATCAAACACATATAGTAATTAACATCTTTATATTGAATTTATTACACTGGTGTTGGATCCACTATAATGTTATTCTTGGATTATAATTTTATTATTTTGTTGTTTATGTTGCTGCTATGTTTTGTTATGTGTATGTATTTGTTAGTTTATTCTAACTGTTAGAACGTTTGTAATTTCATACACAAAGCTCCTGATGCACCTCTTGTTTGAATCACCATTTATTTTGTTTACAGGCAAATTCTATTGTATAAAGCCTGTTGTCTATTATATTAGGCTGTATAATAGAAAAAAACTCAGTACGAGTGACAGAGAGGATGCTGATTCATTTCCTCTGCACTTATCTTGACAGTAGTCTTACCCCACTGTGCCTGTGTGCCCGTTTATGGACTGAACTGAAAAAGATAATACCATTTTTATACCATGTCCGTTTTAGGGGATTTTGTGTCTGATGCCTGTAACATGACTGAGCAGTCGGATATCAAATGCAGTCAGAAATAAAAACGGTAAAGATAATTCTATGTTTTGGATTTGTATAAATTGACGTCCAGCACTCTCACACCCGTCTACGTGCAAGAATGTGTTCTGTTTGTGATTAATTGGCTGCTCACTGATAGTCTGTACCAGGCAGTGATGAGGTACAGTACTGCTTGCCAATAGTCACTATCTCAACAGGGTTACATCCTATGGGAGATTAGTCATAACGGTGAGGGGCAAAATCATCAAGTCAGTAAGCAACTCCTTGTAGTGTGTTTTTCTTTTCTGTCTCTTTAAAGTGCTCCAGGGGGTGATTGTGATCAGGGGAAAGAATGAGTGTGTGTTCCTTTAAACAAATGGAAACAATGTAGTAAAGCTGATATAGGATTAAACATTATCCTGTTTTTGGAAAAAGAAGGGGAATTATTCATACATCAAACCCAGTGATAATTATGTGACACTGAATTTTACAGGTATTTAAATTTTCATTTTAGGCATTTATTCAGTGACTGGCTTATAACTTACATGTCAGGCTGGGGCAGATACAGTCATTGAACCAAGTTTTTAAAAAGCTAAATGGTAACAAAAACTAAATTATTTATGTATGCATATTAACCACCACAGAACAGTTTACTGTCATATACAAATGTTTTATATTTTTCCCTTTTAGTGTTTGAAAACCTTTTGGAAAGATTTAAAATGTATTACATGTGCACAAACGGTATGGGCTATTCTATAATGACCATGTTTGTGTATACTCTATGTGTCTGCTGGGTGCATGAAGATATTTTGATGTGCAAGTACAAAGGTCATCCCTTTTCTCTGATGCTTTTGTTTGAGACTAAATGTTGTACAGTGACACGCTCAGTCAGGCTTCACTGAAATCCCATCTGTTCCTCATACACTGTGTGATTCAAGTATTTTCACAGCAGCTCTCCCATTATTTAGACTCAGCTTTGTCATCCTGCTCCAAAAGATCCAGTCAAATGGTTTTCACTGTGTAGTAAATCACGTCACTGCAGATGTGCACCACATGCCGCATTCCTTCACTACGACATCAGATTTCCACTTTAAAAAAATTTGATTACACAGAAAAATAAAGTATAACAGTAGGTATATGGGTTAGGAATATTATGTTGTTCAGCAATATTGTCAATGCCCATTGTGATGTGAAATCCAGACTAAACCTGTGTTCTTTTCAAATGTATAAAACAAGTACACTCACTTACAAAACATTCTCCAGTCACATTCTAAGAGTTTCACATTATAATTTTATTTATGCTGTAAAATGAAAGGCAGTGCTTTTCTAAAACAGATGAGATGTTTGTTGGCAGTGGTACAAAAGAATGTTATACCCAATTCTCCCACAAGAGAGCAACATAAACACAAGCAGCAGGGGAATAAAATCCCTGCTGAAATAATCATATGTCTCTGCAGTCAAGTACATTTTGTCATAACTGACCCTCAAGTATTTCCAGTGAGTACAGTAGCTGATTATTTACAGATGAAGGTTTACATCCACAGTCTTTAGAGCTCTCATGAGAGTAGCTCAGTGCAATGGTAATGAAACATTTATTGATGGCACTGATTATGGTAAATACAGTGTGATTATATTAGCACTGGTGTTGTGAGTCTTAAGGCTATGTTGGGCTTTGCAGCAAGATTTTACAGTGGTTTTCCTGTTGCATTTGTCTTAGACACAGTACTTCCAGAAGCAAGCTGTAGACAAAATAAGAAAATGTCTTGTAGCATGTCATCTATCTGACAAGTATTAATCATGATGTATGATACATTTAAGTCCAGAAGTACTGAATTTAGCTTACGTTCACCCCTCTTCTGAGTTATGGGTTTGCCTTCCATCAAACTGGCTGTGATCTCCCTCTCCAGCTCCAAGTCCTCCCTCAGCGCTTGCAGCTACAAGAATATTTCAGAGTGATCAAACATAATAAGAACAGTCAGTATCACCTCAGTATTAATACACGTTCTATTCAATGGCTAGAATTAATTCACATTTTTTTGAGCAGAAACTGCCTATTCACACTATTCAATCATGATGCGTTTCCTGGCATTTCAAAAGTTGCTTTAAGGTGAATTAGTATACTTACTTCTTCTAGCTCAGCTAATTTATTGGCCAACTCAAGACCTGCAGACAGGAAAACCAGTCAACATCCAACAGGAATGTATGTGTGTTGTTTATATAAATGTAAAAAAAATAATTTGTCTCACCTAGAGGATCATCCTTTTCAATGGGAACTAAGCTTTTGTGTAGTAACAGTGACAGAATCTTGCTTTGGGCATCTGTGTCCTCTTTTGGATTAAAAACATTATTTCCTGCTCAAAAAAAAAAAAGTAGCTTTAGGGACAACACACATCACAAACATATATATCCTTTCCATTTCGACTTCATCATCTAACCTGTTGCTTTTTGGCAAAAGTGAAACCAACAGCAGCATTAACTAAGGGTACAGCAGTTCCCGCTTCCTCAGAAATGCACAAAAATATTGACATTTTTATTTTACACAAACCTAAAACTGTACCATTTTTGCACACTCACCAGAGTTAAATATGCTCCTTCCCTCCACATTCAGCACTCCCTGCAGTAGTAACAAACCCAGGAATCCTAAGCAATTCACAGCTGTAACCCTGTCCATGGCACTCAATGTATTGTCCCAAGTAAATGCTACACAACAAGCCTTTCCTCAAGCAAGGCAAGCAATCCACTAGTTTGGGCTCAATCCTGTCAATGTATTTATCCTCTCAGGGGTCAGGAGGAGGAGCCAGTCAGGTACTAAATCAATAGCTAGTCATCTTGGATTTCATCAAAAGGCTACCTTTTCAAAAGAATCAAGTGAATTACGGCAATGTGACGTTGTAGGCCAGTAGCTCTACATCACTCTGACATGGGCAAATCAAACAGAGAAAGGAAGTTATCAATCATCCTTTTAGCTACAGTATTAGAGACCAGAATTAGATGTGCTTGGCATTTGCAAATATTTTTCTTTTACAGTAATTGCTTTTTTTAAAAGCCACATGGTTGTGCACTGGTCTGGGGAAGGAGGAGGAAGTAAATTGATTCAGCCCCTAAGTGCATCATAGCCAGAGATGAACGCCTTAGTCTTGGCTTCAGGACTCATTTGGTATTCGACGGGACATCCATCACTGCAGCCAATGTCCTCCCCCCCCCCCACACCTCACTCCCCGTAGGGTATCAAGGAAATCACATCTCATACCTCTGCCAGAGGAATGGGGCGTTGTTACAGTGTTAGAGAAATGAGATGACTACCACTTGCAAAAGTTGGCTGGTAAAGGGTCTCATAAAAGCTTCTGGCTGCCTTTCATCCATTCAGACTTGACTTAGGAGCCCATTGACGTCTGACGTCAGGCATCCAAGAGCCATTCGTGAATCCATCACTTTAGTCATTCAGCTGTTGAAAGTTGAAACTCTGGGACTTGGTGAAGAGATTTGACAATGTGAAACAATCAGCATGAGTGGGGAGAGTATATATTTTAGAGATCAGGGGAATCTGTGACTAATAGCTTTAGTCATATAAAGTAAAGTTAAATGTATTGACTGGGTACCTGAAACACTAATCCCACAAACAGAGACAAACTTGATAAATTTGCAAGGAAAGCCAATAACACTGTCCACACGAAGGTATTTTTTTATTGTTCATATCAAATAAATGTCAGATGCATGCACCAAAACCTTAGTCTATTCTTTAAGTGTACAGCAACATAGTCCAAGGACTCTGCAAACAACTGAACCAGTTGAGAGTTTCTGTTGATGTTAGAAATGTGTTATATGTGCCATACAATCATTCTATTCCTGCATCAGTAATGAGAGGTACTGCTGACCTTGCAGTATGTCACTGAAAAATAAACATTAATACTAATTGGTGGTGTTATAATAGTGTTATTGATTGACCAGTGACTGGACCAGTAATACAGCCACGTTATAACTAATATTAATTAGAAGCAGGTGTGGTACAGGTGCAGTAGACACCTGCAAGTCGAAATGCTGAACGCTAGAGAGAGCATGTATATTAACATAATCAGAATACCAGCTGCTGTCACATCACATGACACATCTTTGCGTAATGAGAGAGAGAGAACAAGAGCACAAAAAAGGTTGTAACGTCAATATATGTTATCTTCATTCACATAAACAGTTGCGTATTCAGTCTACTTCGATTTGAAATTGTTGGCAAATATTGTTCTCAGACCCTAAGGCACCATATTTCTAACAGATCATAGATTTAGGCCTGGGAGTCGTGGATCCTATCACTATGTGGTGCAGCTGCAGATGTCTGAACCGTGACAGGGAGCTGCATCAAGTTAACCACATACAGCTAGTATAACACTGGAAGCCTTCAAAATTAAATTGAAAACTGAATATGATAGATTTCTGTAATTTTTAAAATGAGTATTCTAGGATGACTTTAAGGTCGTAAAATAAACGTTTTGCGACTACTACATCAGTTATGCGAGTTAGTATTGTACACTTCTGTTACTTCTGATGCAGCCAATATTACAAATATAAGTATACAACTCCTCCCCTCTGGACAGTGTTACAGGTCTCTGTAGTCAAAACAGCCAGACACAAACACACTTTCTTCTCCTGGGTCATCACTCTCATAAAGAGTTAATCCCATGTTTATATTTATAACAATATACAAGAAACAAAACAGTATAATAACAAATGTATATAAATAGCTAATTTTTAACTTGTATATATGTACATATTTAGAAATAGACGGTTGTTTGTCTTCTTGTGTTTTTTTTATTGTTATTCTGTTTTTCCCCTTTTTTGTTTTATTTGGTGCACATCAGGGGCTACTGAGCTGAAGTCACATTCTTGTATTTCAACATGCTTGGCAATAAAGTTTATTTATGAATGAGTGAGTGATAGATACAAAAATGTTAAACCAGTAGAGGCCTAATGCCTTTTGGGGCTTTGATGAGGACCATAATGAAAATCAGTTTTGGAAACAATATTCATCATTAACACTCGTCAGTGACATTCAAATAAATGTAATGTACATACAGGTCAAACCAAAATTAGACTATATTGCATATTCTAAGCTCAGGGTTCATGTTGACTATGTACTAAACTATACAGTCTTTTATTTTGACATGCTTAACCGGAAGACAGGTGTATATTGTAATTGAATTGGCGGGCTGGGTAGGAGGAGGGAGGGGTGGGGGGGACGCTTGTAGAAAATCTGACACGGTAGCTTCAGCAGTGTAGCTGCCAGGCAATTACTGCAGCGGAGTATCGAGAGAGGTTGGCTACAGAAACTAACCAAAACGGCCGTCCAGGACCAGAACCGTCAATCGGGTTTATGAGTAAAGGCGATCGATCAGTTTGTCGTTAACCTTGAGAAGAAGCGTGGAAGCGTAAATCACCGTCAGCGTTTTTTAAACTTGTTATCGGCAACATGGCTGAATGTAACGTTAGCATCGACAAGAATAATCTACCTGGAGTGAAAGAGGGTAACGTCTATAATACATCTGCTGGCTAGATATGAAACAAGCTAACTGTTTAGCATCAGACATATCCACTTAGGCTAATGTCAGCCGTGTTAACACCGGTGTTTGGGTTTCACTGTTACACCGATTGTTAGCACAGCTAACGAGCAGATGCTAGCACAATAGTGTTTAAGGCTCGAGCCAATTAACCCGCACTAATTAGATTCCTTCACCTGGGTACATGTGTTGTGCCATTTTTAAAGCCCTGTCAAAGTCTTTTTGCAGTCAAGGTTGTAAGAAGAAACATCGTTTTGAGGGATAAAACATGTTGGCAAGATGTGCCCCCTTCGTATTTCTCAGTGTTTGGACTATGGTGAAATGATGATGGGTATGGGGATAATTGTTACACTATAATGGATACACACAAGCTGGCACAACACCAACGTGGGTAAATACAGTGTTATAGATGGTTTGTTAGCCTTAATACTGATCACATCGAAGTGTTTACCTGTTTTAAGCCATGTGGTTCAGCCAGAGCCCAGAAGACAAGATGAGTTTGTTTGTGCATTATGCTGAAAGTGTCCAATGTCCTCTGTACTTTACATTTCATATGACATATCCAGTCACACTTTACTTTTGGCTGTAAAATATGTTAGTGCCTTGCAACATTATCTTCAAAGAAATTGTGACCACCAAGAAAGAATTACAAACATGATTCCCCTTCTACATAACTTTTATATACACCCCAAACCTTGTCTACTGTTGTTAAAAGCAGGTGGGAGTCTGAACCAGATTTTGGCTGGGATGCTGTGCTGGTGTGGTGGAAAGGACCCATCCTGTGTGAAGCAGCTGCTCAGCTGGATGTTTGTTATTCTGGTCAGCGAGAGAAGGGCTGTGCATTTCCACTGATTGGCTAGACTGTAGAGGAAAAGCCTCAGAAAGCTGCTAGAAAAGTTTGTTTCATCCCTCATGCATTGTTGTGTGAAAACAGTACACATTGTCAACTGTCTAGTGTTACTGTACTGTAACTCAGCAATGAACTGAGCTTGTATTTTGGCTTTTCCACTGCACATGAAGCCCTAAGACTGGATTCATGTGGTGTATTTGTATTGTGCTGTCTTATCAGTTTTTGTTTTCATTGTTTTCAAGATTTACAAAGATTTGTCACATGAAGCAAAACTGCTGAACTAGTTAAAATGACTAGTGTATAGAGCTGCTCTATACCAGCCTGAATAAATCTCAGCTTTCTTGGCTAAGAAGATTAAGCATATGGTGGAAAATGGTCTGTGTTACTCAAATCCTGTACTGATCTGAGACACTGAGGGATTTGAAAGAGGTCTTGCCCTCCCCTTTCCAGCATTTGTTTATCCCACCCACCCCCACAGTCATCTGCTCATCTACTACAACCAAACGCTCTGGGCCACTCATCAGTGTTGTGTTTGAGTTCTGTGTTTTTTTGCTGTCAGCAATATTAGCAAATAATTGACTTTTTCAGGGCTACACTAGCAGTCAAAATGTCTAAACACGCTTTCCCATTCAGTTCACTGGGAAAGTGCTGTATGTCCATACCTTTGACACACTAACACGTGGTCAGTGTAGTGCTAGTCATTCATATTTTATGTGGATGAAGTAATGTTTGTGAGAGGAGAGAATGAGTAGCATGTGGCTAGGCTATGTAGTGAAAGCTGGGAGGAGAAGGACTTTAATAGAACCATGTCCAGCAGCAGGGCTGTTACGTGGCTTCTTGCAAGATGAAATTGTGACTTAATTTCATTCTTCTACATTTGATCCACCAGTTTTGTGTCTGGAGGTATAGTTAATCCATGCTGTAGAAGCAGATGCTATACGGTGCACCATGTGCTCTTAAGGTCGACATTCAAATTTCACCAAAGGCCTGAGAAAGGTTTTCATCATCCCCATAGCTTCTACTGTTTCCTACAGTAGAAGGCAAATGCCTCATTTCTGTTCAGATAGATGTGCAGTGATGGTATCTGTTTTTTATTAGGGAAAATTCCCCTGCCACAATGGTCTGCACTGTCATTTCAAGAATGAATGCTCACTGGGTTTTGGCTGTATCAGTAACACTGAAACCATGAGAACTAGTTTAAATTTCCTGGGGAAATGTCCATGTAAGACAGTAGACAAGTAATAAGATACAGATTCTCTCTGGCAAAAAAAAAAAAAAAAAAAAATTGTGATCATGTTCTGCAAGCATATATTTGAGCTGTAGTAGTGGAGCTTTAGCTCTCAAGCTTGGGCCACATAATATTGTTTCAGTCATAAAAACTTACTGTCTGTAAATGTGGCACAGAAAAATAGGATGCTGTTTGCTGGTTTGCATCCCGGCGTCATTGTTTTCTATTTTGTAGTATTTGGGGGAGATATGCTTCTCAGGAAATATAGGGGTGTACTTGCATACCTTATTTTGTTAGCAGCGCAGTTTCACTTCATGTTTGTGAAGATGGAAATAGATAAGTGTCAACTGTGCCAAAGGGCCAAACCTCTTTCAGTTGATCAGACTGATAAACACTGTTTGTTCCAGTTTGTAATCTGTGAAAAGTATAGATGTAAAAATATCTCGCCTTGCATTTAGCTTGTTATAGTACTTGAGGTATTCAGAGATTAAACAGATCTTTTGTTTTTGTGTCAGTATCATCTAGTAGCTATTCAAGAATAGCAGTTATGTTGCTGTTTTTCCATTCATTTTGCTATAAAGCCTACTTGTCAGCATTTGTCACAACACAAAGTGAATTTACAAAATAATTCTATCCTAAGTTGCAAGGGCAGTAACTCCGATCGTCTGCTTTTGTTCAAGCTAACTTGTTAAAAGTTTTCTTCCTGTGCTTGTGGTGACTTTTAAAATATTTTTTTCAGTTTCACTGTGTGTAGGCAGATGGGCCTGATGTTAAGCTTTATGCTGTTGAAACATATTTTTAAACTTTTTTTTTTTTTTTTTGGTGTGCCGAGACTTCGCTGTGCTGGAGGACCACTGCCTGGCCTACAACCTCCAGGAACAAGAAAGTAAGAAACTAAATTAAATCTACAATGCAACGTGTGCAAAAAGTGAACAGGTCATTTTGGAAACTGCTATATTTTTGCCCCGAGAGACTGCTGACTTCCGCTTGTTTCACCGTTCCTGATCACTGAACTGGCCTGCGAGGTCCGGCTGCATTTGATGTGTCTTTAATAAAATGAAAAAGTCCAGAGAGTTTGTGCAGACAGGTCCTTTCCTTTTTCCAGGAGACTGTTTAAACACTTAAGTCCTTTATTGTGGTAATGTTTTCTGCAGCAGACCCACTACGTCACTGTGGACTGTTTCTGTCAAGCTGCCCTGCTGCATTCCTACTGTAGGTCACTTAATGCTTACTTTGCAAAAGAAAAACTATGAAAGATGTTTGAGTGTAACAATTAAAAAAAATTTAAGCACTCCACAGTACTCCCGCCTTTCCCTTCTGAAAAATCTGTCAAGTGTCGCAGGGTGAACTGCAATGTCGGTGCCTGCAGCCTGATTAAGCCTACAGTACATGCGCCCAGCTTCAGCCACACGGTGGTGAATGGTGCAGGATGCAGCAGCAATACTGAATCAGGGCAGGGCTGTGGCAGGCTGCACTGTCTAAGGTGGAGCACATTAATCTGTGCTTGTTTTAGCACAGACAGGCCCTGATTCTACATCTGAAGTGAGACTGCGCAAGGAGCTTAGCAAAAGTTTTATATATTAACACACTGTGAGATACCATTGACTGTGACTCAGTGAACAATTAAGGATCATTTTTTTTGAGTCCCGAACTCTTCTTTGGTGCATCTGGGTGTTTTCTGTTAGCTGTGTGTATTGTCTCTGCATGCCTCATTAGGTTAACTAGTGCTTTTATAGTATGTGAGCTCGTGTGTGTGTGTAATTAGCCGGCATCTTTTTTGAATGATTTAATAACACAGAGACTCCGTCCCCAAAGAGGGTTTGTTCCCCTGCTGCTACTGATTAGTCTTCTTTTTAGTAAGTGCTTTAAGACAAATTGTTCAAATCCCATGCATAGTACTTGTAAACCAGCTTTTAGTAGAAACAGTAGGAACTGTAGGTCCAGCCATCTTCTGCTGAGGTAGGTTCAAAGGACATTTTCTCTCAGGAGGCATGGACAAACACGGACCCAGACATAACAAGGCTTTCCTTACACAAATGAGTATCTGTAGCAGGCCACCTCCTTGTGTCCTTCACCTGCACTCATTCATAAAGAAATTACAGGACCCAACAGAGAGAGATAATAGCTTTAGATTGTGCAGGAAATTAGTCAGCGACTGCTCAGATTGCTTTTGTTGTGAAAGGATGGATACATTTGCCAGTGAGTGTTGACAGTGGAAACGTAACCGCTAACCCTTCTCTGCATCAGGTTCCATAAATATGTCACTGTATATCATCATCAAAGGGTAAATTATGCAGCAAGCTCCACCAGAAAGAAGGCCAGATGTCACCCAGCCATACCCTAAGTGCAAATTAGGCTCTGTTCTGGCTGTGATTAATCTGGTTTTGGACAGCCTGTCCCTATGTTGTCTTTAACCCTTGGAAGCATTAGTGCTCCATAAGCAAGGCTCATCTCTCTTAGCCTAACAGTGTAACTGTTCTGGCACTTGGTGTCTTTATTTCTAGAATGTGTTCGCTCTTCTGTTGTTCAGCTTCTCACTGAGCGTTCAATGGTCTAGCTTTCTCCCCTTAACTCTCCTTTTTCTGAGCGATGTAGGACCTCTTCAGGGCTGAGTCTGAGTGAGCCAGTGTCACAATGTCTGGTCAAGTCGGAAGTCTGAATGAACCCATGTCACGATGCCTGGTCGATTTGATTCATCTTCTTTTTGTTTTTGGTTTTTTTGCTGCTTAAAAGATGAATCCGTTTTCCCACTGAAAAATGTAGCACTGGATAAATAATAGCCTTATCTTGGGCTGTGACATCAGTTTTGCCTTCAGATAGTTTTTGTAAGGTGTCATAAACTTTAATGTCATCCAGAAAAAAAAAAAATCAATGTCGACCCCTTGACTTTTTTAACAAGTTGCTACAGCTGGGTAAATTGCCAAATGTAATTTGGTCCCTCTCACATGAAAGCTGGGAATGGATCGATAGCCAGGTGAAACAAAGCTGAACGAGTGAGTAATGCTCTCCATGTTTACAAGATGCTTGGAATGTGTCAGCAAGCAGGATTTATCATCTGTTATAGCCCACAATGTGCCATCACGCAACCTTGGAACGACGCCTCAGCTGCGAACATTCATTTCTCGGTGACTAAGGGCGCTCTTCCTTTATTACCACTGACTGAAGAGTCCGTGTCCTCGGTGTTCATCGTTATGTCTGCAGACCGTCTACACAGTGCTACTGCTCTTCAGTGAGACAAACACCAAAAAAAGTGTGGATATGTAAATAAACTCAGTGCTGTGCTGTCGATTATTTTTCTAACACCTTTAGAAGTGGTGCGGTCCAGCTAGCAGACCTGCTCTGCTCTGTGTACACAGTTTTAAGAGCTATGCTTATGTCTTATATTTACAGTTGAGAGCCACTTGGCGTCCAATGTCCACAAGAGCCGTCTGGTGCAGAAGGACCTCCAGGTGGCCAAGAAGCTGCAGGAGGAGGAGGATAAGAGGGCCAAAGTCCAGAGCCAGAAACAGCATGTTGAAATGTGGGTGTCCCTCACATGTCGACACTCAAACATGCACAGATACTGTATATCAACACACAATCGTTGTTAGGTGTAGCAGTAACTGTCCTTATGAGTGCAGAACTCTGACTTAAACTGTAATAGCTTTCTTTTGCCTAATCAGCTGTAGTCTGTGCAGTGTGTTCAAGTGTCACTTTTTTGACCCGACTGGTCCAGATAAAGGTGACATGAGGCGACGCGACAGTCAGCCTAGGTGGCTGCTAGTTCTCTCATGTTGGCTTTGGGTGTCTGTGCCCTAAGATAGATTTATGTTTCTTGAGCAAGACAATCGAGCGGTCCCACCATAGGTTCCTGCAAATTGATTTATTGTTCGGTGTAGATCTAACCCATTTATTGCTCATTTAACCCTGTTTTTGATTATTACGTTGTGAAATAATAGGTCGTCTTGTGTTCCTTATTTAAATCAGTTTTCACTGGTGGAACTGGTAGAGGCTTTGCTGAGTCACAAAATGTAACTTCGTGTAGCGTTCCTGGATAGGAGAAGATTGTCGAGCCTGTATTCAATTTGATATGCGGTCTTGACTATCAACAGCTGTTACTGAACATGCAGGAGAAAACACGAGCAGGCTGAGCAGCTTGCTCATGTGGTCTATTGGTAGCATCATCTGTAGCCTTGATGTGCAACTTTAATTCTTGGGGGATTTGGGTGAGCTCCAGCTGCATGTCTAGAGCTATGCAGCTGCCACACAGACTACCCACAGGCCTAGTGCCCTGATGCGGAATCATAAATCAAGCATCGGTGACTGCTCCTAAACATAGCTATGTGGTCTGCTGCTTCTGCTTCAGTCCAGACTAGGAACTGCAACAGAAGCATGCAAAAAGGCTCTTGGATTTAAAGTCCTTCTCTCTATTCTGAAGTGTTTATTGAAATAAAAGTGCTGACTCATAGCTCAGTAAGATCACTGTTTCAAACACACACACACACACACACACAAAGACAGAAAGCTTCAGTGGCATTGCACTCCTAGGGAGAGGCCAGATGCTCCACCATGGATACGTGCTGCTTGTCATACTGTGAGCTCACACTGCCATCCACCCTGCACTTGCCAGTGCCACTTCACAGCCACCCACTCTTAGACATTTGACTAAACACAGCATCACTTGTTTCTTAGTTTTCTGATGAAGGTACATTAAGGTGCTACAGTCCATGTTCTCCAGAGCCTTTGACAACACAGGTCAAATTCAGGTGCAGCACAGGGTGGTTAAGCTGTTACTTCTCCTTTTAAGTAAAGCTTTACACTTGTGTATGTGTGATCATACAAACATAGAAATGGTCTTTGCATATCAGCCCTCCAGGAAGGCGGTGATGTTGTTGTGCAAGCGAGCATATTCCTGCTCTTGCTTAAGTGCACATGTTCTCTCTTATGACATGCTAGTTGACTTTAGAGCAGTCTTTTGTTGTGTTCACTGCTGTTATGGTACACGATTATTTCAACCTCGTTAACATTTAACAATTGTTTCGTTTTAGCAGCATTGATATTTGTATACAGTATGAAAATCCCAGTGTGCTATTTTAAATCCAGTGGTTTATCAAGTATGAGAGTCAGTTTCAGCACCAAGTCGTGAGCTTGAAATGTCGTGAGGCAAATAAGATAAGAACAAAATGGCAACAGAAGAATCAACAGTGCTGGGAAAAAGGGGAGACAATGAACTGTTTAACAAATATGTGAGAACAATATGGTTAAAAATGAAAAGTCTTTTTACTGGACATGACTTTTTTTGTTTTGTTTTGTTTTAATTCACATTAGAACCTAACATCTCGACCGTTACCATCACCATCATCATTGTCAATATTCCCTGCAGTTACAAGTTGTATAGCTGTTATTAAAGTTGTCCAACCCCCCCCCCCCCCCCCCCCCCCCCCCCCACAAACAAAGGCAGTTCAGGAACAACTGGTCCGACAGGCAGAACAACAGCGGCAGCAGGAAGAAAAGGATGCGGTAAAAAAACCACACAGCCAGACACTTTTGCCCATTCAAGCACAACGTCATCTACATACACCCATCAACGACTTGACGTCTTATATCGATGTAATGGGTGGATCATTCCACTTGTTTCATCACCTTGTTTGTGTTTCCTCTCTGTTGTAATCAAGTACTGGCCATAATGACCGAGCCAGTTTAATTTTTTAGAGTCTTAGTCACTAAGTTTCTGCCTTACATAATGTTACAGTATCAGGATGTTTTCATAAATGTTTCTTCATGATATTGTTGACATTGATGTCATTGCTTCGTGGCTATGTAACAACAATAACTAGTCAACTATCAGCTACTAGTCACAGGCCAACAACTAGCAGGATGTACCCAAACTAAGTGGCCTGAGTAGGACACTACAACACTGGCTTACTTGTTGATTTATCTAAAGCATCAGCGAAGATGCATCTCGGCACTTTAATCTGAAATGTTTGAAATTACTCTGACTGGTGAAAATACAACTACATTGCAAAACAGAGTTGTACAGGGTATTTTTCATATTCAGTGTGGGCCAGCATGTTTAATGTTGCCTTGTTTTGTTTCTAGGCCATTGCACGTAAGCTGCAGGAGAAGGAGATGAAAGAGGAGAGGAGGAGACAGAAGCAGCTAGAAGTGAACTTTGAGGAAGAGTACTTTGAGGATCACGGAGGTAGGGACAGCACCACTGGCTCATGTTAACTAGTGGCTGAATCTCTTTCTTCATATGTGTGCGTTGCTCATGTGAGTTTGTGTGTTTAAGGACATGGAGGAAGATGTGCTTCTCTTTGTAGATCGGGATTTTTTTTTTTTTTTTTGTACCCCCAGCTCTGGATGTGTGATGCTGTTCTTTTGATGCTGCACAGTGCTGTGCAGTGTTGCTCACTTGAAGCAAAGATTTTGGAATTAATTCATAAGCACTTAGTTAACTTGAAGGGAGGTTTACATATTCCTACAGAACAATATTTTGTCATTTTGCTCCTTTCAGAGATAGACACCACTGTAAACGGGTTTACCAGTGTGTGTAATTGTAAGACGTGGGTTAAATACGCTTTGACATCAGATGTGACCTTTTTACTGAAGCTCCAGTTGGTCAGTAATGCATTAAAACTTACCCACTGACATAGCCACCTAAAACCTAAATATAAATATATTGGTGAGCCTCAGTGTCACATATTGGAGTTCAGTTAAAATCTTTATATGCATACATCACTCCTCTGCCTTACGTATCCCACTGGTTCATTTACTACTGCAAGAGAGAGCGGTTTGAGTCTTCCTCTTTTCTTTGCCGCCTTTGGAAATTGTTGGCCTTTGTCAACTTGTTGCAGTGATTCACCTCAAGAATTGATCCTGCATCATCATTGTGTTGAGAAATGCCTGTTCCACACAGGTCCTTTATAGAAAAGGGCCATCCATTTGTCAGCATGAGAAATTGTACTGCTGCTGAAATGTAGCAGCCATCAGGAGCAGCGTGTGCTAGGTCTGAAGGCAGTTATGGTCTTTGAGCCTCAGGTGTGACTTTGAGTATAGGAGGGACGTATAATTCACGTGGCTCTTTGTTGATGTTCCCTCCCGACTCGTAAAAGCTCAGCTGCTTAATCTAATCAGACAGATTTGACTCCCAGTTTTCCTGCCAACACTTGGGCATGTTTGGATTTCATCTTCTCCAGAGTTTGCAGTTTGTTCTCTGTGATCCACAAATATTCAGCACAGACATTATAGTTTTTATTTTGACTGGCAGGTTGCTATGTATTAGTCCTCCATGTTTTTTTGTTCTTTTCAATTTGCCTACTTAGATTGTTGGTGATACAAGAATGACAACTTATTCCACTTCCTAGTCTTCTCAGGCAGAGAGGAGGTGTTTGTGAACAGAAATAAAGAGGGTAGTCTCTGAGGCGGGGTTTGAAGTGCGTACTTGAAGTATTACTCAGCGCTGTGCAGGCACGGACACTGGGCTCTTTGTTAATGAAGCAAATCTCTCAGCTGTCAGTCTACCTGTCCTGTCGTGTCTGTATGGATCATCAGCCCCCCCGATGCTTCAACTGTTTCTGACCTGTCAAACACGCAGCGCAGTCGGGATGACGCTACTGGATATGTGTGCCCTGCTCCCTATAGTATATCAGACCCTTTGTGCCGCTGCTGGGCTCTGTTTTTGCTATAAAGGCTTGTTAAGTTGCATAACCAGTCGCCACCATGTCCCTGCTGAGTATATGTGCGCACTACTGCTGTCGAACAGGTTAAACAGCGAAATAAAGATTCAGCTGCTTTGTTTTCCCTCCATCTAACGCGGTAGGGGAATGACGTTCACGTGGTGTGTGACCAGATGCAGTTTACACAGGTTACAAGGTTGCCACAGGTGTTTGAGTTTCAGGCTCGGTCTAGACATTTTCATCATTGCACTTGTATGTGAATTCTTCATAACAGTGTTACATTTCAAATTTCCACTCCCCTGCTTTTTAGACCCTCCATACACACACACACACACACTTCTGTGATACCATGTAGCTTCTCAACAGACATGTAATGGCTGCTGTTTGTCTTAATCCTGTGAATTATAGTTGCACAAACCTTGTCTCCACAGATACGTGACTGGGGAAAACCAGCTGGTATGGAGAAATGTATTTGAAATTGGGATGGTAGATGAGATTAAACACTTAAATTAGCCCAGTCACTCTGAGCAGGTACCAGTCAGTTGATCATCAACAGAGGTGATGAGACGTTAGCAGCCGTTTAGATAAGAGGAATTCCACTGAGCTGACTCTCAGCGGTGAGAGGATTGGCCTCTTTCTGATGTGTGCTTTTCCACTGATTTGTTTTCATTCAAACTTTTTTCAGTGACAGGCCAACTACTAGCAGAACGGCGTCAAATCAGTCATGCTTTGCTTATGTCATTTGCTTGGTTGTCAGTTGTGCCACATATGGATATTCAGCTGTCCATCAGACAACCGACAATACATTCAAGAGTGTTGCAACACATATTTGCTGTTCACTATGCTACATCTAAGTGTTTGGAGCTTTTGGGCTACTCTGCATTCATTACATTTTTATTTAGGCTACAAACACAGCTCTGGACATTTTGGGTGCCACAGTTACATAGATGCTTTGCATCTATAGCATGTACTTTGTCTTCTGACCATCACTCTCCTCACAGGTGCTGTGTCTAATTCAGTGCTTGCTTAACCATCTTAGCTTATATCATTCCTGTCTGTTATTTTTCACATTTCCATGTTCTCATCAACCATCCATCATTCTGTCCACACCACCCTTCTCCCATCCTTGCTCCTTCATTTGTGCCCTAATCAGCTGCAAGAAAACCCCTCGACTTGGATGAACACACCCGTCACCATGCTCCAGCGAGCTCACACCGTGATTACTCCCCAGATTATAGTTCAACAGAGCCCAAAAGGAGCAGGTACCCAAGACAGGACCCAGCAGCACCCCACAGCCACTCCAGACACCCAGAGCACTATCTGGTGGCGGAGGGAGGGCATAGCAGGCATGCAGATCCCTACCCAGAGCACCTGCTGCCCTCCGGAGGTAAACATGGGGACAGATACCCAGAGTATGAACTCTCAAAGACTGACAGAGCTAGAGGCCCAGAGGGGGAGTACACGGAGAGAGCAGCAAGGAGGAAGGAGAAACCAACCAGACCAACTCCACCGCAGATCATCATAGAAAGAGACGAGGCCTGGGACAGAGAAAGGGACAAGCAACGTGACCGAGACAGGGACAAAGACCAGGAATGGGAGAGGCATGCAGGAAAAAATCAAAGGAGTAAAAGGGAGCAGGACCTCAGAGCAGGAACAGGAGGAAGAGACAGGGAAAGATCCAGAGATAGAGGACAGAGTATGGACAGACTCGGAGACAAACAGAGACAGAAAGACAAAGACCGGCAACGAGCACGAACCAGGAGCAGGGAGAGAGGATCTGATGGGGATTATTTGGAGCCAGGTCGCAGCAGGGACTGGCCGAGGGAGACCCGGTCTTCCTGGGATGAGGAAGACAACAGTGGTAAGAGGGAGAGGAGGGCCAGGGGCCGGCAGCGTGTCCACTCCGGCCCTGAAGAGGTATTTGACGAGCCCAGCAGCACTGAAGGGAGAGGGGATGCCAGAGGATTCTGGGACCCTCAGCAGGGGGAGGGCCCTGGCAGGGAACGCAGTTACACTCAGCCCAGCGGAGAGACAGGTACCACCCTGAGCTTCCCTCTGGGCTCTGTGGGGTGTTTGTGTGGTGTGCGGGAGTCGCTTTATCGCTGTGGTGGTGGGTTGATCTAACATTGCAGTCACTAATGAAGACAGTAATTTTCTCATGGGCGCCACAATGATTTCACAGTAATTTGTGGTGAGTGATGTCATTCAGATTTTGATGGTGTGAAATAATTAGATTAGTTGCTGTTGTGCTGCGGTGTTGCGCTGTCTTGCATTGACTGCTGGGTTATTGCATTGAATAAGGGAGCAATTACACTGAGACTGAAATGTGTGCTGTGATTTTCTAGTAGAATAGTTCTTTGGATTTTGATGAGCTAAAATTTGGCGTTCACAAAGGGCTTCAGTGCTGGAGACCTGGTTGTATTATCTCATCTCAAAGCTGTCAGAGGCACTAAACAAAACAATGAAACGCTACCAGTGATGCACTGCAGCCCTTTTAGGTGTCTTATGGGTTTAATTCATCTACAATGTGTTGTATGTGTTGTAATGCTGAAACAATTGCTAGATTAATAACTTTTGGTCAGTTGATTAATCAGTAATTTTGTCATTAGGACAAGCTTCTCACATGTTGATTTCCTGTAAACTGGTTTTGGGTGTTGCCTTTGTCATTAACATGGACGCTCAGCTTTGTAAAATTGTGATTGATAATGAAAATAAGTGTTAGTTGCTGTTAGTTTATTGTTAATATACTACGGTGACATCCACAGGTCGTATTGTGCACCGAGGGAGTGGAGCAGTAGTAGCAGAAACGGAGTATGAACTGAGCGAGGCCACCAAGGGCCTGACTAAGCTGGACCTCCGTGAGCTGGAGCTAAAGGACATGGAGGTGGCCAGGAAACTTCAGGAGGAGGAAATCAAGGTGAGGAGATAGGAAACCAAAAAAAAAAAAAATTTATTGGATGTTTGTTGTGAGTGTGCATCTAAAAGGGCTGGTGAACAGTTTTGTGTGGTAGAGTGAAATGAGATCAACCCTAAAGTGAACAAAAGAAACAATGTCAGGAGGAGATTTAGTTTTATACATTTGACAACTCTTCCCCCATTAAACTGCTGAGAGATCCCAAATATTTCTGCTGTGTAGACATGGATACCTGGTGATAAATACTTTTAAGCTCAGACCAATGTCGAGCACTTTTTACCGCTGAAAGCCACAAAGAGCAAGAGCTGAATACTAACACACAACTTCTGGCTGCCATGCGAAAGTTAGAGATTGAGCTCATAATTAATCCAGTATCAAAGTCTGGCAACAGAGTCGGAATCTATGGAGCGGTACACCCCAGGCGTCCCATCACCATCACCTGGCTTAACCTCACGGGCTGATGCAGACCATTCTGCTTTGCTTTCCCACTGTTGGTCTCTGTTTAGAGGAGGGCGGGACTACGCTCCACACACACACACACACACACACACACACACACACACACAGCTGTTGAACAAGCTGAAGACAGACTTGCAAAAATGTGATCCTCTGACCACGGTCCACTCACTGCGGTCCCCATTTTACATGATACACTCAGACATCTATGCTATAAATTACTTGATTGGTAGATTATATAATAATGACCATATAAATGATGCTTAAGTGTCAAAAAGAAGTGACTTTTTAATTGTTGTCTGGTTTTAGGCAAGCAAGATGCATGCGCATGCAGCCCAAGTGGCCAAGGATGAGGTGAGTGGGCATGAAGTCTGTCCTGCTTCATTTCCTTTGCTCAGCCAGTTGGATCACTTTTATTTTCGTATAACGCTGAGAATCTAAAGCCAAAGCCTAAACCAGATATTATGTAAGAAGAACTAAATCAGTACTGGCCACGTGACATTATAGTTATTTACTGCTCTTTATAAAAAAACATACAGCTGTGATGAGGATTTTTTTTCCTTCTGACAGGTAAAAATGCAGTATGTATTTTATACAAATACATATCGACATGAGATGTAGTCGACACTCACACTGAATCTCATCTCTCTGGCAGGAATATGCCCGGAGGCTGATTGAGCAAGAGAAAAAGGAGTACAGGAAGAATCGAGAACGAGAGAAAGAGAAGGACCGAGAGAGGGAGAGGTTGCCCAAGGACAGGATGGAAATGGAAAGGAGGTGGCAAGACAGAGACCACAGGGTAATTTTCCATAGCCATACTCATGTTAAATTGTATTCTTTGCGGTGAAGGGAAGCAGGTTTCCACTGTGGTACCACAACCATAATTTTAGGAAACATGATTTTTATTGGTTTCCAGCCAAGTTCGGAGGAAGTCGTCCGGCCAAGAACACGAGAGGACTATGAATACCAGAGGCAGAGAAACCAAACCAAGCCTGCCAGGTACAAGAGTCATGACTACTTAAAGCCGAATATTTCCAGTCTTTTAAGAAGTAGAAACTCAAGCATTTTATTAATTATTCTGTGTTTTCTCTTTGTCTCAGGCCTCCTCAGCCTCCTATACATGACTATGAGAATGTGAGCGCTGGCTATGGCTACTCAGACTACCCTCCCCCCCCTCGCGCTCCCACCAGACCTGAGGCTGCTTACAAAGGTATGATGTCCCTGTATGTACTTCATCCTAGCATCGATTCCTATTTATTTAAATAGGAATTTACTGTTTTCAGGGTCGAAACTCGTGTTTTTCTCATTATTGCTAATTAACTACACATGACTTTAATATTACTACTTGCTGTTTTTATAGTATGTCTGATGTTTGTGTTTTACTTCCGTCTGACGTTTTGTAGCTTGATGTGATTCTTTTCACTTGTTAGCTGTGTGCGTGCACAAAGCATGGCTGTCTGGACTGCACATATTCTCAAAAGGAAGTATATACTGTATGTTGAACTAGCTAAACCTGCAGAAAAAAATATCATTGATCTGCAACAAATTAATAATTCTATCTCAGTGAGTTGTGGCTTTCAGACAATCACACATTTAGGATGCTAGGGTTAAAATGAAAGTCCTCAGCACTTTGATGTAATGTAAGTTAGGGCTGCGACTAATGAATCTGCTGTTTTTTTTCTTGATAAAATGATAAAAAAATGACAGTTTCCCAGTTCCTGAAGCAAATGTCTTCACATTGCTCGTTTTGTGCCACCAACAGTCCAAAACCCAGTGCGTTTCATTAAGACAAAGAAAAGCAGCAAAGCCACAGATTTGAGAAGGTGAAAGCAAATGTTTGGCAACAGGGCCTTTTATGCCAGTGAAAGGAGCAGTTAGAGGAAATTACAGAGTAAGGATATCAGAGGGCTGTGGCAGGGATTTAATAGACTGACTTCAGGAAGAAACGGGTGGTTTTGGATAATAATTCCAATCTCCCCAGTGAATTGAATTTCTTTTGTCATTTTAGTAACAGTGTGTCATTGGGCTTTAGACTTTTTATCGGATGGGAAGAAGGTTGTTAGGATCGGTAACAGATATTCAAGCCCTTGCTTCTTAAGCATCAGGGCAGCACAGGGACGATGTCTTCTAATCTCAGCTAGTGAAATAATGTTCAAGGGATTCTTAAAAAAAAAAATCTCATCAGAGATTTTTCTTCCTGCAGCAACTGAGGAAATGTGGAGTGTCTCAAAGAGCTATGACACAGTTTTATCAGGCTGTGACTGAAAGCATTGTCACTTTGTTCTCTTTGTTGTCTGGTTTGGTAATCGGACATGACAAGGGTAGAACATAACAGGCGGTCCGTTATCTTCTATCAGCTGAATTTTTTGTGTCACATCTTAGACAGAAAGCGCCGAAGGTTGCAAATGACACTTTACATCCAGGTTTGGCCCTTTTACAGTATTTGCCAGTAGGTTTAAAAACACTTAGGGTTTTAAGATCCCTTGTATTTAAAATATCTTATTGTGTGTTATTTTATTCCTATCCTATTTGAATTAGTATCTTACTTGTTGGACTATTTGTTCTTGTGTTAAATGTGTTTTTAAATGAAATTCCTATCAGCTTTGGTTGACTGGCAATACCTTGAACCTGTTAGTGAGTCGAGAGTTGACAGGAAATGAGGAGGGACAGACGGAGAATAGACCAGAGAATTTGTGCCACCAGGGGACCCTTGGAAGTGAAGCATATTTTACCAAAGCCTACAAAGTGCTTGTTGCACATATCTGGGGTCGGATAGTTTGCATAACCAGAAGAAACCAGACAGTAGAAATAAAATCCGGGTCTCTGAAGAGTGCAGCGTGACAACATGTCAACCTGTTGCTGATGGATCTCTTTCTCCATCTTTTTCAGGTGCCTATTACAAGCGGTGACTCAGGTTGTCATGTCCAGATATGCTGTCAGTGATTCTTCATCCTCCTTTATTTAAATTTTATTTATCTTTTTATTTTCAACCATTCACACTCACAAAAGCCTTGGGACAATCTAATGAGTTGGCAATGGGACTTTTTTTTTTTTTTTTTTTTTACCTTCCAAAGTTGTAAGTGCTGGAGCCACATTCATGTTTTGTTTTTTGTTTTTTGTATTTGTGAATTGTGATTTCTTTACACTGACTTGGTATCCAGACATGCCAAAAGAGGAGCCTTGCGAGATGAACTCCCGTGTATTTTTGCTGTTGAAACAGATGTACTGGCTCTCCTCCTCCTGTGGTCATCATGTTGATGTTCGTCCTGCCTCGGACCATGCCAATACAAGGGCTCAAGGCCTCTGCTGGATATAACCATGCAATCCCAACTTTCCTCATGACTGTTCATCGGACGTGCCTGTCTGCGCCTACATGGCTGCTACAGTGTCTTAGATACCAACATGGCAGCTGCTCTGTCACGCCCATGCTGCAGCTCTGTTCTCTTGTCTTGCTGAGGCTGCACAGTCCCTGTCCATGTGCCACACAGCATATAACTGTGGGGTGAGGGATGCATTTTTGTTGCTGTATTCAAAGAAGAAAAAAAGAATCTTTTATCAAGATGCTGGTAGTTTTGGCTTTACCGCCTTGTTCCATTGCGGAGGAGGTGGGGCTTTGTGGTTATTCATGAACTTTTAATTGGCCATGGGCCGTGGGATTTTCTAACCCCCTCACCCTTAAACCGAAAGTGGATGGATGATATTCTGTGTATGACTCATTGTTTCTATGTGCATGCTTACTGAAAGTGTACAACTCTGTACATGCATTTCAACTCTGTATCAAGCTGGCTGGCTCCCTCTTTACTGTCAGAAATGGCTACGCTAATCTTCTTTGTGAATGCACAATGCTAGCTCATATACTGCAGTACATTGTATCTCTTATTCTGCCACTGTTTCATATCGGCTCATTATTTACAAACCAAAACTGGCCCATAAAAGACCCAGTATCGAAATGCATGTACATTGCTTGTCTGTGTCAAATTTGGATTGATGCTTGTGCTTATGGCACAGACATTTTGCAATTGAATATTTGCTCTTGTTTAATTTAATGTGAATGTTTTTTATTTTGTTTTTTTTAAAACTTGTGCTGCCAAATCATGTTCCTCAGTGTTGAGTCTCTCTCTTTGTGTCCCAACAGTTATCTTTGTTCAGAAAGGGAGCCTGTGGTGGCATCCACAACAAGCCTTATACTTATACAATATTTTGTTGGGCCTTCCTCAGTCCCCTGAGTGTTCCTGCTTTCGCTTCCAGTCCTTTTCTTTTTGTCTCAAACAGAAAGGCCAACTTCACTTCCTGCAGGAAAGGGAAACATTCCCACAACACAATGTAATGGGGGAAATAAATCACAGGACCAGTGGGGGGGGGAAAGTCAATAAATGGTAGTAAGCAAAGGGACCCATTTTCATGTTTTTCCTAGGCCAAACAGTCATTAGTCTGTTTTCTGCCATTACTGAATAAAGAAGAGCACATGAAAGTTGAGTTCACTGAATTGTTTGTGTTGGTGACAGTGATTCAGTGATAAATGATGAGTCCATCCCTGACTGAAGAAAATAGTGACTTTGCAGTGTTGGGGACAAACATGCAGGTGTTTCCATTGCTGTGAACAAACTGGGGTTCGTGCCATATGCTTATTTTTTTAAAAGAATTTGATACCCTTTCACCCCATTTTTAATTGTAGCAGAGCTACCACACCCACCAGGGAGGGACTCCTTGATTATTCTTTGATAAGAGCACCACCTTGTGGACCCAAGGGCAACTGGGAAGGGAAATGGATCTGATCAGGTGCATCTTTTGTGTATTTGCAGATGTTGTGCCTCAGACATTATTGTGGATTTGAGTGTTGTCAAAATCAAACACAGTTAAACTTTTAAATTTCTTTAATTCGGGGCTTGTCTGCAATCTGTCAATCATGAATCAACATGTGTTGGCATGTGATGTAACAGTTTTTTAAGTGAAATAAATCAACAAGTTGCTTTTATGTCTAGCATCTCAAAATGTATTAAACTGGATAATTTATGAACGTAACCATTTATGACTCATTCATGAAGTCGCTTGTAGGCCAGCGAAACATGCAGCCGCTCAATGTGTGTTTACTGTGACCAGTAAAATGGACTGAGGTCTCAAATAGCCTTAGAAGAACATACGTTGAGGTTTAGTGATTTTTCCCACACGTAACCTTTTTATTGCCAGTATACCAGAAAGATGACAGCATGTCCACCTCTAGTACAGTTTTTAAGCCTCCTTAAAAAGTCTCACTGCCCACAGCATTCAAGAAAAAACATGTTCCTTATCTCCAGCTCCAAACTCTTAGCCCCAGGCACTGACCCACTGAAACATTTTGGCCTAAAGAAAGTTTGCTTAACAAAAGTAGCTAAAAACATTTACAGTTTAAGTTGTGGTGGGGTTGGATGACAACCATGTTCATGTCATGACATAATGTACCACTAAGTGCTGCTAAAGGTAATCTATGTCACTTTTCAAACACTTTACCTCAGCAATACCAAACAAGAGTATAGAACCAGTCTGAAGAAACCTGTTCTAACCATGTGCAGACCTACAGGACTTAAAAATATTAGCTGTCCTAATTCACACTAAGAGTATTAAGACAACAAAAGCTGTTCCATATGCAATAATGTCTGTAGAAGTATTTATTTGTCATGATTATTTCTATAAGAGGACATACACAAGCATATGTTCACTGAAACCATAAATTAATTTGCAACATTTGTCCCTAGATAGTACTTTGATTTGATTTGATTTGCTTTATTCTTTCAAGCATGTAAAAACAGTTGATATGACAATACACATAATTTTACACATAATCCAATATCAATGTGCTTATACCTAGTACATGCTTGAATGGAGTAGGAAGAAGTCAGACTTATCCAGTCCTACCCCATGACATCATCTTACCATCATTGGTTTGCAAGCAGTAAATGATTCACTTCTACCCACACAAGTAATATACTAAAGAATTATTACAAAGTCAGAGTGTTAACATTCTTACATAATTACATTCTTAAATAATTATCTTCTACACCACACAAGTAATATACTAAAGAATTATTACAAAGTGTTAACATTCATACACCACACCCTCAATGTTCCATCTAATTAATCATTAAGCCTGTTCTTGCATATATCTTGATTGACACATACCTTTATATTTATGTTTAAACTCGTCAATTCTATTACTATTTTTTATGTCCACACTTAAATTATTCCATAGTTTTACCCCACTTATGGAAATACAGAATCTTTTTTTGGTTGTACGTATAGCATGAATTTTTAAATTTAACTGTCCCCTTAAATTGTATCCCCCTTCCCTTTCATTAAATAGTTTTTGAATTCCACCAGGTAATAAATTGTTCCTGGCTTTATACATAAACACTGCAGTCTTATATTCCACTAAATCGAAAAATTTTAACAATTTAGACTGTATGAAAACTACATTTGTGTGATCCCTATACCCCATCTTATGCACACTTCTTATCGCTCTTTTTTGTAATATATACAATGGTTGAAGTGAGCTTTTGTATGTGTTTCCCCAGTTTTCAACGCCATACTCTAAGTATGGTAAAATCAATGAAGAATACAAAATGTGTAGTGCTTTCCCGTCCAAAATATATCTAACCCTTGCCAATATTGATATATTTTTTGCTATTTTGTTCTGAACATATCTGATATGAGATTTCCAGGAGAATTTGTCATCAACTATGACACCTAAAAATTTAATTTCATGTACTTGTTCTATATTAGCTCCCCCAATTTTCAATTGAAGTTCATTATCTAGTCTACGATTCCCAAATACCATAAATTTAGTTTTATCCAAATTCAGAGATACTATATTACTGTCACACCATTTCTTTATCTTCTCAAGTTCCTGTGAAACCCGTCCAGAGAGTTGCTGTAGGTTTTCACCCGATGCCCATATGGTAGTGTCATCAGCAAATAAAACCACTTTCACTAAATCAGAAACCTTACATATATCATTAATGTATAGTATAAATAATTTAGGTCCCAAAACAGAACCCTGAGGCACTCCACATACAATGTCCAGCTCACTCGATTGGTATTCACCCAACTTCACAAATTGACGCCTCTGTGTCAAATAACTTCTAATCCAATTCAAAACCAATCCTCTGATCCCATATGTTTCTCACTTGTCGTTAGCTGCTTTATTAAAAACACATTCACATATACTTGCATTACTTGTCACTACTTCACCTCTTGAGGTGGAAAGAGTCATGTGTTCATTCTATTTACTGTGCAATAATTTCCTTGTGTGAAGTTCTCATCCTTTGTCCACATATTTAACTATAAATCATGCCACCCTGAAACAGAAGTTGTGTTACACCCATCATCGGCTGTTGGAGCCGGTTCATCGGCATACCTGACATACTGATGCTCCATCTGCATGTGGTAACACCACTGCCATGCCCTCAGTGAGATGTGTCACAACCAAACTACTGGAAGTTATTCACCTCCATAACCAGAAAGGTGCCTGCTGTTGCTGCTGCTGGAAGATTAAAATGTTTCTAAATCAAACAGGGTATCTCTTGCTCTATTA